CTTCGGGGCCCGCGACGCCGCCCGCCACCGGCCCTCCAAGGACTACGACTTCATCCTCGAGGAGGACGAGATGATCCAGTTCGTCAGCGCCGTGCAGATGCAGGGCACCGAGCCCGACAAGGTAGGCTGGGCGGGCCTCTCCGGGCGTTGGGAGGACTGGGGGACTCTATGGTTGCACGCTGACCCAGTTTTAAGTGGCGTCTGGCTGCGGCTTTTACCTTTTTTGGTGCTTTGGAGGACCAAAGCTTGCATGGTTACACCTTGACTGAGGAGCTGGTGTGGGTTTTTTTAGCTCTTTGGAGGAGCAGCAGCTCTATGGTTACACGCTGAGTGAGGAGAAGGGGTTTTTCCGGGTTCTTGGAGGACTAATAGCTGTGTTACAGCTGATGGGTGGGAGAGTACTTGGAGGATTTGTGGCTCTTGATCAAGGAGTTACTTGGGGTGTGGTTTTTTGGAGGACCAGCCACTCTATGGTTACGCCTTGATCGAGACGTTATTTGAGTCTGGTTTTTTGGAGGACTAGCAGCTCTATGGCTACACCTTGATTGGGTTCATTGGTGTTGAGGAGTCTTGGAGGACCAGCTTCTCTATGGTTACATCTTGGTCAAGTTCATTGGTGCTGGGGGCTCTTGGAGGACCAGCCTTTGTATGGTTACACCTTGATGGAGTTTATTGGGGTTGGGGACTCTTGGAGGACCAGCCTCTCTATGGTTACACCTTGAGTGAGCTTATTGGCATTGGGGGCTGTTGGAGGACCAGCTTCTCTATGGTTACATCTTGGTCAAGTTCATTGGTGCTGGGGGCTCTTGGAGGACCAGCCTCTCTATGGTTACATCTTGGTCAAGTTCATTGGTGCTGGGGGCTCTTGGAGGACCAGCCTCTCTATGGTTACACCTTGAGTGAGCTTATTGGCATTGGGGGCTGTTGGAGGACCAGCCTCTCTATGGTTACACTTAAATTGAGTTTATTGGCATTGGGGGCTTTTGGAGGCCCGGCCTACCCTGCCGCCCCTCTGGAGGACCTCGAGTTGGGCGGCA